GAAGCACATCACTCACTGGGGCACTCTCCAGACAGCCCCTCGTATCTGCCTGTAAAGTGAAGAGGGGGAGGATACTATGTGGTCGCCCTAGGCCTGCCCATCCTTTTTGGTAATCTGATTGCTTTTTGCCCCAGGCGCAGCTAATAATTGGAAAATCCACCGCCTACAGTAGCTATTCCCTAGTTTCTCCTGTCGTGCGTGAGCTTGAAGTCCAAAAAGAACCACCAAATCAACCAAGACTACCTTAAGTATCTATATACATCTAAGGGGCGAATTTTCCGGAGAAAAGCGCAAACACAAGCCATGAATCCCTTTTGCCCCTCGGCTCCCTTCTCCCGCCCCAGGTTGAGCAACCCCCTGGTGCCTTTGCAAAAACCAAAAGGAGCTGCGCTTTAAAGCTTGGGGTCTTTGACCATTGACCCAGCCAAACTGTTTCGGGAAACTACAGGGAACCAAGGCTGCAACATTTCTTCAAAGGCTTGCTTAGCTGCCCAAAGAACCCACAAATGCAAGGTTCACCTTCGGGGCAAGGACTAAACATGGACCAGAATGGGGAAACCAAAGATTCTCGCTTTGGACAATCATATCTTAGCATTTAGCATCATTTAACCAAACTTTCAGCGTTGACTTCTGGCTCTGCCAAAATGGTTGAGCGGGCTGTCCTCAGATGCCCGCTCAAAGTTGGACACTTTCGTGTGTCAAATGGACACCCAACCACTGAACACACTAAAACCCACTCAATACTTACTAAACACTGAGAACAACAAAACCAAAGGCACCGGATGGCTGGGAACAAACCCACAAAATGGTAAACACAACCCCGAGAAAGATCCTTTACATGGGACACCACCAAAAAAAGCAAGCCTCGCACCAAAATGACCTGCGCATGGGAAAAGCTACTCATCCTCCAGGTTTCACCATCTCCATTTCACCAAGTGGTTGTGGGTCAAAACCGAAGGTGCCCGTTTGTGGATGGTTATCACTCCACTGTTGCCTTTTTAGCAGGCTTTCTGGGTACCACCGCGTGTTCGACCCCTAGCCAAGTGACTATGGGTCAACACCCCAACCCCCAGTGAACATCCCAATCCAAGCACCAAGATAGGTTCCAAAATGGAATTCACCTACCAAAATGGGATCCCAAAACGGTGACCCACGGCCAGGTTCCCCCGTTTCGGGGCCCAGCGGCCCGGCGGCTCCTGGCGCAGCGCCGAGTCCTTGGGCCGCAGCCGCGCCGCCGAGGTCAGCGTGGCCTCCGCCTCCTGAGTGAGCGAGGTGCGCGCGCGTCAGGCCCAAAGGAACGGGGTCACGGGAGTCAAACCAAAAACCAAAAAAAGGGACCCGTAGAAAGTAAGAAGTGTGGCAAACCGACAAAAATAGGAAGAAGCAATGGGAAGCAAGGAGTCCCGCATGTGTTTGATTCCGCCACGTCCTAATTTATGATCCTGGAGCTGGTTTGGGGCCCTCTGCCATAGAGGTGTTGTCAAACAAAATTGAAAGCGGTAAACAAATGCCAGCCGTCGTTTTTAATACATGGCAGGTCGAAGCCTTAGACCAAGGAATTCCTGTTTTTTGAGTGGCCCAAACCATGATTGTTTGCATAAACACCTATCTGAGTCATCCCCGTGAAGGGGAATGGCAGAACGCGGCTCTCAAACCATGCTGAAGAAACCATGCCACTTGAAGGTTCCTGAGAAAACGGCCCTGCTACCACAACTGCCGAATGGGACCAACCCCTCCTCGAAGCGCTGCAGAGCGCAGAAAGCGTGGGCCATGCGCCGCATGGCCTGCGCGCACGTGGGGAAGGCCGCAACTCGTGACTGCCAAAGGCCCGGAAACTCACAAACAAACCACGCACAACAAGTGCAGCACAAAAAAACTCGAGTGCAAACGCACCAAAAACAAATCAAGCAAGCAAACAAACGGAGAAACAAACAACAAAAAACACAAACGAACAAACAATACAACACCACTACTCTCCTCAGCCGAATGCAGCGACAAAGAACCGACAAAGAACTATGACGTCCCACCAAGTGACAGCAAATGCCCTGTGAGATCGCGCCTGCTGACAAGAGCCCTTGGAAAAAGTATTCTAAGCTCGTTGGCAGCCATTCACCATGGGAAGTTGAGTTAGTCTTTGAAATGAGCCCCTAGCTGCTTGTAGCAATGGCTTTCATTGAGCCCAACCAGAAAGCAGTAGACGGGATAAAGTGGCTTTCCAGCGGCTTTGGCCGTTCAGTTCGGCCCAGCCAGAAGGATCCCAGCGCTCCTTCACATGCTCGGGGTTGTAGGCCAAGGCAATTTCGCAGAGCCTGAAGGACAGGCTTGGCAAAACCAGCAAACCAAGCGCAGGTCTGGGCACTGACTGCCTACAACTGAAATTTGCTTGTTTCAAGTGCCAGCTTCAATCGGTGATTGCATCCCACTCATCAGTCGGCATTTCAGAAACTGGCTCTCCCACCCTCGCACCCCATGGCAGTCACAAAGCCCACGGCCCAATGGTTAAAATGGGTGATTTGGAACTTGTCTTTGCTCGCGTCCCTCCACCTCTCGGTGCATATGTTTCTCGCTGTTGCTTGCTTGCTCGCTTGAGGGGGGGAAACATCCCAGCGGGTGACACCTGTGAAACGCATTCAATGCTTGCTTGCCGAAGTAAGGGGGCGGCCCAAGGGTTTGATACAAAGGCAGTCAAAGCCAATCGGGCACCAACAAGCTTCCATCCAGCAGCATTGGGCCTTCCTCTACAAATGTGTCGTGTCTCAAAGTCAGGGAGCCCCCTTTTGGTTCAGTGTGAGAGGCAGGCTGAACCCTGGTTGTATATCTGGCGAGGGGGGGGGGGGGGAATCTCTACATATATGTGTACATATGCATGTATACATCTACATCTACTACTGAGTGGGCAACAACGAGAGCATCGCACAGCAGGCGGTTGGGACCTGAAACGACAGCAAGCCAAAAGGCAAATCATCAAGAGCAAAGGACATATGTATATCTTTACATATACACGCTTCAAACATTGGGCCTCTTACTGCAGAAAGTGTCTTTCCTAATTCAGAATCCTGGAACTGCTTTGGGAAGCCCTTAAACAAACAAAAAAGACCAAACAGTGGCACAAAGGGGGTAGGTGGCCGACAAGAGCCCCTGATCCTTCTTCATCTGGCTGTTTTGGGGCCCCATGTAATGGCAAGCTTTTGCGAGGTGGGTGAAATTGATATTTCGAGATTCGTGCTTCAGCCTTCTAGCAAATTTTGGTTTTTAGTTTCTGGTTCATCTAAGCCTTCTCGGCTCAAAGGCTGTGGAAACCAAGGCCAAAGAGTCTAGGGGTCCTCCTTACTGGCAAGCTTTGTTTTGGGTGGGGGTAAAATTCCCAATCTAAGCCCTTCCCAGGCCTTAGACCTTGGCAATACCAAACTCAGTGCTGGCAGAACTGAATTAAGTACTGGGAATTTATCATGTGGTCTTGGCAATGGTAAACATAATATTGGCAATACTAAATCAAGCCGAAGTCCGACCCAAACACCCCCCCCTCCCTCCGCAATTGGGATCGGAATGGCTGTTTGACTGTACCGGGGGGGAGTCATTTGGCTGTGGGTCAAAGATAGGTACCCAAAATGGAACCCTGGTGAGTGGCAACATGGACCAAAACCTGTGGTCCCCTAGTGGTTTAATTTTGACCCACACCCATATGAAACCAGGTCCAAAATTATCTCACTCCAAGCTCCTGGCTGCAAGGCCCGCTCGGGGCTGGGTGGCCAGTCTGCCTGGCCCTGAACGAGAGTTTCACCCAAGAGGCCCCAAAGTAGGAAAGACTTGCAACCCTTTGTTTGGAACAGCACGTGCTTGAGAACCGGAGATTTGGGCGGTTGCGTGTCTTTTGGGGTCTGGGGGAACCCACCAAACATAAAAAGGGGTTTAGAGGCTGGAATGCACTGAAGAACTGGTCAGCAACATGGGCTGCCCTCCAACGTGCTTCAAACAGGCAGCACCGGGCAACATGCACGAAGGTAGTGTTCCCAGCGCTTTCTCCAAACGCCATTCCGGGGCGCTGCAAGAAATCCCCACTCCCCCTGCCCGATTTGGAAAACCGTGGCCTCTGCCCCTACATACACGACAATCTAGGCGACATCTGAGTGAGAAAGTTGTTTATCGCAATTAGCCCTGTTTGATTAGGGATGGTGTGCAGTTAAAGTACCGGTTGGCATCCCGAGATCGAACACCACTCAACCTCTATATCGAGACTCCGCCTTTCAGGCGTTGACAGCAAGCCATGATGTCTGCTTTTTCAAACTGCCAGAACCGTGGTGGGCTGGCTCAGGGAAACTCAAAGAAACCTTTTGCTAATCTGGACAATTCACCCGCATAAAAAAATGCCCCAGGCCGCAGGAGACCTTGAACAAAGGAGGTTGCATTACCGCCCGCAACAGCGCCCTTCTTCTCATGATAATGAGGTGACCATTGGAAGTAGGTACCTTTTGTCTTTGACTTCATGGCACATCAAGCCCTACACCCTTTTTGGCTGAAGCTTCTCTCCAAGAAAATTCATCTGAACCATCTACTCTCATGCTCACTTTTTGGCGCGCGTCATGTTCATCCACATATTAAAATTGTTAAACGGATTCTGTATAACATGGAATTGGATTGCGTTCTGCCCCGGAAACTCACGAGAAGGATGGCCGAGCTGCTGCTCTGCGACTCATGTTAAGTTCTATCCCAAAGCAGGTCCAAAACAAAGGACGTTGTGACCTTAGGAGGATTGGGCTGCCCTTTTGGTTGTTGACTTGAAGCCTGGCGCCAAGTCAAAAAAGAAATAACACAGGCTGCCAGGCTGCCACTTCAAAGATGAGACATGAGAATTCCAGCTGCACTACCGACTGGAAACATCTCAACTGTCCTCTTGGGCCATTGGAAGCGCCCCCATTGCACCCAATTTTTGAGCCCAAAATCTATCCCTCACAAGACAGTGGATATCCCTGGTGCACCCCAAGCACGCGGAAGCCTTTCTGGCCCTGCCCCTGACCCGCGGCACCTTTGTCCAAGCACGGCGCTTCGCGGAACGTTGACGCGACGTTGGCGCAAGATCCGCGCAGCCGGCCCCGGGGGCCCGGGGCCCCGGGGCCCAGCTCCGGGCATAAGGTGAGTTGAGTGACTTTAGGGGTCGATGTTTAAAGAAAAGGACCTAATTTAAAGGTTTCCTGCCTTGGACAGCTCTGGCGGTTTCACCGCCATCGGCTTCGGAAAGTTGCAGGGCATCTGGCGGTTTCACCACGCGTGGAACGTGCACCCACGCCCTGGGGTGCCTCTCTCAAAATAAACAGAAGGCTCTTGGAGCCCCTTGGCCCAGTGCTGGGTGCATCGCTGCATTCCCATTGCCCTGGGTCCGAAACAAGAAGGCCAAGCGCCCTTGCTCATGAGGGGCTTGCCCAGCAGTATTCAAGGCTGCCTTGGCCCGGATTGATTGGATAGGAGCCCTGTCAAACTGGGACGAAGCCTGCTTGGATTTTCCCTGGCAAGAAACAATCCAAACGATTAAACTATAGCCAGGGTCTTGGTGTTCTTGGTCTTTGCCTGGTCCTTGCTTGGCTGTTGCTTGTTGCTTTTCTGTTGTTGCTGCATCTACTGCTTCTGCTGCTTGCTGGTTTGTCATCTCTTGCTGATGTGACACTCGGTTGCTCTTGTTGTTTCCGCTGTCTTACAGTCTTGTTGCGATAGTTCACTAAAGATTGTTACTTTGAGAAGAGCGAAGAGCTCAACTGCGACTGGGCAAATTCAGGCCCTGGCATCTGAAAGGCAGCGCGGGAATCCTCCGCTCGACTCTTAGACGGGCTTCCAGGGCACCTCTATGCCGGCGCGGTCGGCCAACAGGAGGGGGCCTCAGAGTTGCCGTGGCAAGAGCTTAGGCCGCATGAACTCTTGGGAGGTGGGAAGAATCTTTTGTCGGGTGAGAGCAGATGGCATTCTCCCATTTGGGCTTCGTCACTCCCGAATCGACACACAATGTTCACCCATGTTGACTGCTTCCACCTCCGGGCGAAGCTTTTTTCCCTGAGATTGGCCTCACGAAATTCCTACAGGTCGTTTTTCAGGACCCTTCCGTTCCCAACCTTTCTTTGGGACGTACGAAGCCAACAACCACACAACATCCGTGAAGTGCTCTACAAACCTACGTGTGAAGCTCCAAATGCCTACGAGAGAAGGACACGTGATCCGGAGCTGGTGGAGTCCCGCGCGAATCCCGAATCCCGAAGCCGCACTAGAAGGCGGGGCCTTCCCAGTCCCGAATCCCGAAAATGTGAGTAAGGCCCGAATCCCAAGGCCGTGCACGACCTTTGGATGACCACTCAAACAGAACATGTTCCTGCCTGGATGTTAAAAACATGGGGTCTGGATAAGAACAAATCACCACTCCCCTTTTGGCTTGCTTTATGGGAAATTAAACTACCAGGGGCTATTTTGCCCCAAGCAAGGGGACAAGCTGGGGTCAGTGTGTCTGATTTGTCGGGGAGGACTTGTCATGTTCATAAAGGTTTTGCACCACCCAGTTTCGACGCACACATTTATGCACACAGTTCATGAACAACACAAACTGTCCACAATATGTCCAAAAATGCGGACCTTGGCCAACACACACCCAAAAACAAAACAAACAAACGGCCCTCCGTCGCCTTTATCCCCCCCTCCCCCACCGGCAGTTGGCCCAGAGAGCTTCCGCCCGGCCTCGGGTGAAGGACTGGCGCCGGCTGCGCAGAGACTTGGAGAGCGTCCCGGAGGTGAGCAAAGTCGCGGCCTCGGCTCGGGTTTTAGTGTTTTCCCCCCCCTTTTTTTTTCCGGATGGCCTTGGAACAGGGTTGCGGGAAATGACCACTTCCGTGATACAACAAAAAGAGCTTTCCAAAGACTAACCCCCCCTATAAAGGGGGAGATTCCCTTGTTTCACAAAAGTGGGGATAAACCCCTTGATCCCACAACCCTGCCTTGCAGTGGGGTGCGAGTAGCTCGCACAAACCTCCCCATTTAGGTCTTATCAATTTTGTTTTGGCTTGAACCCCCCAAAAATAATAGTGCTTTGTTCCATCTGGCTCGCCATGATTCAAACTTTCCCAGTTTGCATCTAGTGAGCCGAAAAAGGGACAGGAAGCAGAATTGGAACTATGTCGTTGTGGTGCCTTTTGGGGAAGACACCAAATGTACCAAGAATAGGAAAAAAGTGACACTTCATGCACTAACTGTCAAAAGTTAAAACGGCATATTTACGAGCCTTGGTAAGGCTCTTTAAAAGCTGGCTCCAGGGGGAGACATGCGAGGGACTGCTGGGTTCTAGAAATATTGTTCGAACAACCTCCTGTGTTTTTCCATTTCAACCAAGGGCTAGGGCCTGGTTGTGTCAACAATGTTTGCACGACAACATGGCAACCAAACCAACCAACAAATACCCTGAATTGACAAGCTGGGTTTCTGGATTCCCACTTGACAATGTCAAAATCAACCCTACCCATGTACGATCCTGGTATACTCGTCATGTACGAAGCCAATACTTGCAAACATATCGTTCACCTGTACGTATACATATTCATTTACACATGTTGTGTGTGTGTGCGTTGCGTTCATCAATGTGTATTTGCGTCTTACGTTGCATACATCAACGGTACAATCTGCCATCAACGGTATATCCTTTTGACCCAAGTCTGGTGAATCGATTCGGAAGCATAGAAGTGCTCCTTGACAGAAGCAAGCCAGTCGCCCACTATTGAGCATCCAGTTCTGAACATGCAGGCAAATAAAACAATCCGCAATCCGGCACAAATTGCAGCCCACCCTTTCTAGTGCTGATTTGCTCTTGGCTGCCTGTGGCTCCGCTCTCAGCATAACCTATTCTCTCTCTCCCTTTCTCTCTCTCTCTCTCTCCCTCTCTCTCTCTGCCGCCCCATTCCACCTCAGCTTTTGCCCCGTACCCCCCCCCCCCCCAAACCCCCCCAAAAAAAAAGGAAAAATAAAAAATAAAAATCATCTCAACCGAGATCCCACCTGTTCAAGTCCACGTCTGGGGCAACACACAAAGCATTCCACACTTCTTCGGGCCGGGCCCCCGAGCCTTCGCGTTTGCGGAGGCTGGACGCGCTGGATCGTAGCACACTTCGACGTGCGGGTCCTCGGAGATCCCCTCCACGTGCATCCGGGAAACCTTGGCCAGGAGATGCCTTCCCTCAATCCTTCCCACTCTCAGACGATCCACCCCCCCTCAACAAGGGGGCCTTTTCTCAAGGGAAACAGCGGGAACGGGTACAGCAGAGGGAGGGGGGGGGGATGTCTACTGTTTTTAGGGGACCTGCTGCTCGGTTCGCAAGAGCTTTCCCTTGGCTTTGAACTGTTCCCTGAAATCAAGAATTCCCGCTAGGCTCCCCTCACTTGACATCCAAATGAATATGACCTTTCAAGTGCACCCCCCAGAGTGCACCTCACATGATGGTTCTGTGCCAACGACCCGAACTCAGGAAGTGAGTCCTGGAACCCACCACAACCCCCCCCCCCACCCCGCCGACTCCATGGCAACCGGCGGGTGGATTTTTTTAAGGACCTGTGCAAAGCTTCTGGGCGCCGGGCTTTGTGTGCACCCAGCTGCGCATAAATATCTTGCAGCTGGTTCACCTCCTGCAGCACCGCCTTGCCAAACTGGACGCTGACACCAGTGATGGTACAACAAGGGGTCAACAAAAAAAGTTGGTCAATTTGTTTGTTATTATTTTCTAAAATGGATTTAATTTAGGGAAGAGGGCTCCAAATGAAACGTGACCAAACAACTTTTCTGCACCCTCAAATGTGACCAAAGCTAAATGCAAGCTGCATGTACATTGGCTCATGTCGAGAACGACTTGGATGACGCACTGTGTGGTTTCCCCCGGATGTTCCCCCTGTTGTTTTGACCCCCAGGGGTGGATCCACAAAGCTTGGCACAAAGCCATCACACTACATCAGGGGGTGTAAACAGCGCAGGTACAACACACGTCTCAGCAACAGCTGCTGTGTGCATGTGCGTTTGGAACATGAAACAGGAAACAGGCTCCAAAAACGTGCTGAATAGCTGAATAACCTGAACAATCCAATCTACCAATATATCACGGAAGTTGTCAACGCACTCATGCCTTCTGGCTTGATTGTTTCCTAGTACAATCCTATGACACTTCCCTTCACCCATCATTGGCGCGTTGACGGCAACCCCTTCACCAAGTCCCCGCTCCCCTCCCGCAGGCGAACCTGGCAAAGCTGCTTCTCGGCTTCTCTCGCCAGGTCCTCCAAGGATGTGTGTGTGTGTGCGTGTCCGTTTTTGCGCGAAAGAGCCGGATTTTGATTTGGCGCTTTCGTTGGTGTTGGTTCAGGTCGGAAGGGTGCCTTCGCTCAGAAAGGGCAGAGCCGACAAATCACGGACTTAACTGCGCACCAAGAACTGCGGAGGGCTGTCGGGGTTCCTTTGCGTGCGCGCGGCTCGTTGGTGCGCGGCTCGTTGGTCGCCAACCACTTTGAAGCAGACCGGCCAAAATCAGCTGGAATAATTCGTCAATGCCACGTGGGCAAATGACACATTGTGGAACACCTGGGGCCAAAAGCAGAAAGCAGGTAAGCCTAGCAACCTAGCTCGCTGGATCGCAACCGGCAAGATGGGGATGTCATGAGTGCAGACCCAGGTCACAGGTTATTGTCCAGTGTCTGGCTCCATGTAGGAAACCGCAAAAAGCGCGCATGTTTGAGAAGCACTGGAAGCAGGCCGGGCTTTTTCTTCAACGGTTGAACGCAATTTGGACTGTCATATGTGTCCCATAAAGCGTCCCTTTGCTTGCCGGGCGATTCGGCTTGAACTTGACCAAGGTGATGCTTGAACCCCCCCAAATTGGAATCATAAGAAACCTTGCAGCAGGGGGCGGTCCATTGACAATGCATGAAACTCCCTGCCACATCCCCTCTGCCTGCAAACCGTCGAACATGACCAAATATAGGAAAGGCTAAGAGCACACCACGTCTTACCATCTCACATGCGAATTGCTTCTCTCGCAGGTCTTATGATGCCCCATATTTCAAGAAGTTCCTGTGACCTCGGTTCAGCCGCACCCAAAAAAAAAAAAACGCTCCTCGGACGCCAGTGGCTCCGACAGCTGACTCTGCCGTGGCGAGTGCGCCTCCTTCTCATCCTGGCAAACTGTTTGGAATCTGCAAAATTGGGAGTGGCGCATTCGCCCAAACCGCCGTGCGCGGCGATTTACGCCGACCATCCTTGGGGATCCAGCCCCTACAATTATTGTAGTTCACATTAGGTCACAAAGCAACAAAGGCTTGGCTTTGTTTGGTCTCTGGTTGTGACGGGAAACCCACATTTGAAAACATGAGGTACGGTCAACATGCATTGTCTCCCCAACTGAGGTGGGATTTTGGTGAGTAAACCACTCTCCCTGCAAAATAGCCTTTTTTGTGAGTGGCTGCCACTAAGGTGGGGGCGACATCTGCGTGTCTAGGGCCAACCGTTTGGCCAAACGGCCGACTTCATCGCCCAATCCTTGTCACAACACCTGATAAGCAAGTCGAAACAGGGCTACATACTGCAAATCGACATAGAACTTTGACATGGCTCCTGTCAACATGCTGTTTTTTTAGTTACATGCTGACCTGCGGGGGAGCAGAAATCCCCCGCCCTGCTCAAAGGAAGCTCACTTCAAGACGGCCAAACAGATGTTGCTCGGCGAAGCGTCTCAAACAATCAACATATGGACATAAAAGTGGACACAAATCCTCGCCTACATGTTCCACCAAAGGGTTCCTAATTCAAACTGATACCTATAGTTCCATACGCATACTGCAGAGGGCTTACTTGATGATTACACTCACATGCATTTCATTTTGTTCTTTGCGGAATAAACCATGCAAAAACAAAGGCCCAACATTCTACATAGATCTATTTAGGCCCTTGTCGCCCTGGCCGAGGCACCAGCTGTCCAGCTAAGTGCTGGAGCCGCTGCATGGCTGCCAGGTGGCTCTGATGCAAGCGCTCCTGGCTGAACGGAACCCGTGGGATGGGCTTTTTCGAGGGAAACCTTTGTCAGGTCGCGTGCCAAGAAAAAAACTGAAGGGAACACGGTCATCTTTGGGGCCCCCCTGTTTCAACACATGAAGTCCTGGTATGAACTCCTTGTTTTTGTTGCCACTTTTGCATGAATGGCTTGCTTAGGAACCATTCCTGAAGTGCCCAGGTTGGCCATGAGCTTGTGCAGGTACACAAGGAAGGTCGTCAATTCGTCGTTTCCCTTGCTTGTTAAAGTCTTTTTGATTGACTAGGTGCTAAAAGGGGGGGGGGGTCTGGGAAAAAAAGACGATCGATCTCTTTTTCGTTTCCTTTGGGGGATCAAACATTGTGGGGCTGTTTAGCCCCTGTTTGCCATCTAGCCAAGGGTGACCCTTTGTACACCGCCAAAATAAACCGACACTTGGAGGTTGGCCGGTCGAACGAGCTTTTGTGGGCAACGGATCCTGAGGGCTTGCAGGACCCAAGCTGGGCCATTTGGATTGTCCACCCAGTGTTTGCACCTGCCTTTGGAGGCACAGGTGTGACTTTCTCGAAAAGCTCTCGAACCAGACTGACCTCAACAGGCCGGTTCTGGTCATAGGGCCAACCCGCCAACCCCAACGTTCCTCGGCCACAGCGGCCACAGGCTCCGTGGGAACCAGTGGGACCATGGGCGGCGCTGCTGGCTCTGCCATGGTGAGCTCCTCGTCGTCGTGCCTCAGAGCCCAAGGCTTCAGCACACGCTGTGCTTGAAACGACCCCTGTGATGCAACGAAAAAAGGTCTTCGAAAGACTACCCGCCCCATTCAAAACAGGGGAGTCCGACTTGCATCACAGAAGTGGGGGGATGAACCCCTTGATCCCGCAACCTGCAACCTCAGAGCCCTGAACATGGTTCCGGAGAAGAAAAAACAAGAAGTGAGAGAGGACGGAGCCAGCCCCAGACGTCCCCACATCGCTTTTTCACCTTCCTGCTCGACAAGTTTTCGTGTCGCAGGGGAACAAGGATAGCAAAGGGATTTAAAGTAACAGGGTCCAGAACAGGACACTCGGTAAATTTCAGCAAGCGGATCCAACTGGCAGCCAGGTCTGTTTGAAAGCAATTAGACTCGCTCAATCAAAGGGAGCCGAATGAAAACAATGCAAGAGGCAAGACTGCTGGACCAACGGGGAGCACGGCCGCTCCTTCTACTCCGCTAGGTTGTTCCAAATTGGAGCTGGAGTTTCCCAATCCGCAGTGGGACGCCAAAACAAGGGAAGCCACGACCATCTTGCACAACGATTAAGGGTTGATGGTCAACCATTCACTTGCAGGGGTTGCATCTTGAGGGTTCTCGAAATTAGGTTTGAGTTTCCGGTGGGAAACCCAAATGATATGTAAACCGCACTGTTGTTCACAGGGTCCCTTCAAAGAAACAAAGGCAGAAGTCACTTGTCTCAGCTGAAGCTGGTATTCAATATGGTCAAAATGCATCCTTTGAGGAAAGACGGAGACCTCGCCGCATCCGAGTTGCATGGGCTGCCTCCGGGCTTCCTGCAAAGAGCTGTGGGCCTTCAGGCTGCTTAGCTCCTCGCAAATGGCACATCCCCGCTTGGCCTCGTTTGAGGAGAATAACATGGGCAAGGTGGCAATTTGCTCCCGGCGAACGTAGAAACCAGAAAAACCGCATTGGATGTCCGAAATATTGCAAGTAGGGAACAAGGGACGCCAAATGATTTACTCTAATTTGCGACGGTGTTCGGGATTGGATGTGGTTGGTTCACTTGCAACTATTTGGGTGTTCTTTCGAAGTTACCCTTGCAACAGGTTGGCTTCGAGGGGAACTCAGCAGGGAAACCCACTATTTGTTCCCCCCCCCCCCCCCCCCCCGCATTTTGACAAATACCCTTAGAATCAATCAGCTCTTCGCTGCCCCGACGTCCCCCCATTTTTTGACAAACACCCTTTCAAGTAATCAGCCTTACGCTGCCCCAACGTCCCTTCCCCCCCCCCCCCCCACGACCGTTGCCTCATCCTTAAGCCGCTGCAGGCTCTGCAGCCGCTGCAGCTCCTGGCTCTTCATGGCGTCCTCTCGCGCGGCTCCATCGGGCCATGGGCAGCTGGGGGGGATGCCACGTGGTAAGCAAGGGGCAAGCCAACCCAAGTGCGCATGTAGGTTGGAAAGCCCCAAGGGAAATTCAAGAAGGGGATCCAAAGGAGAGCTGAGCAAGTACGATTGCCTTTTGGTGGACTGCCCCCCCACTCTTGGCCGGATTTGGGCCCACAAAAAGTTTCCCTTTGACTGTTTGCGCTTGACAGGGCAACCAAAGGGCCGTCATATTCCTTTTGTCTGGCAAGGGCAACGTTCCGTTTTGATCTCTCCTGGTGCCTCAGGTGCTGCAACTCCCGTGACGCCGCCTGCTCCTGGAACTCCAGTGTTCGAGTCGAAGGAATTGTGGCTGGTGAAGGGAAGCCAACTAGGAATCAGCCACTTCCCCCTCTATAACATAGCACCGGACAGGGAATTAGCCTCTTGGGGAAATTGGTCTTCCAGGTGCCCTCGGACAGGTGCTATGCTTGTGGAAGGAAGGGTCACCAATTGAAACCTTGACTCAAACTGGAACATGGATGGAAACTCAACGGGTCGGCTTTGAGCAGGTGGGGCATGGAAAAAACGCCAAACAAAGACATGATTTCAGAGGAAACTCCTCTTGGAAAACGACCTTTCTCAGGCTCCATCAAAGATTATCCTTAAAACCGGCTGTTGGTGGAGGACACGTACTCCACCGAATATGACACTTTGGTCCATAGGTGTCATTTGAGACCGCTTTGGGGAAAATAGTAAGCAGCGCCATCAGCTGTTTCTGTTGAGGACACCTAGGTTTTGGTCTTCCAGCTGCGACCTTCTTTCATCCGCCTTCTTTCATCAAGGTTCCAAACGGCTTTGGGCAAGTGAGAGGAGGTTTGTCCCAGTCAGGTACAAATCCTTCGTGAAAGGGAACGGCTGGTTTTCGAATCACATGAGAAGTCAACTCCTAGAAAGGCTTCAGGGCATTTGGGCAAGTGAGCCAAGGGTTTCTGCCTCTCCGAGAGTAGGAGTTCCTTGCAAATCCAACAACGCATGCTTATTTTGTAAGGCAGTAAGCACGGATCCCTCCAGGTAAACTTGACATGGAACCTCAAACAGGACCCAATTTGGGTGTGGCTCAACATGAAAGAGGTAGGGTTACGCAGGTTTTAGTTTTTGGTTCCATTTACCAGGGTGCCATTTTGGCACATCTTTTTGACCCACTGCCATTTTTGAGTTCGAATCGGCTGTAAGTAAAACCTGCGGTACCAACTACAGGAAATATATGAACCCGTTACTCATACATTCCACATCGGAAACCCAAACAAGTGTGGCTTTGGTTGGCCGAACCCCTTGTTCAATTTGGGGGAAGCCCTCGTTAACTTTTGCAGCGAAGTACACGATGCAACCTCAGGCTCGCATCTCTCAACTCACTCCTGGTCGTGCGTGGCCTGGAGCTCGCTTCTGAGAGAAATCTGCTGCACCTCGCCGGGTTCCGTGAAACATAAACGCGGAAAGAACTGTGTTTTCCCTGGGGCAGGAAAAAAACACTTCCCAAAAGGGAAAACATAGCTTTCTGGTGGGGGGAAACCGACCCAGAAAGTCTAAAGACGAAGTCTTGTATAGTTGAATAGACATATCATTGGTTGCTCTGGGAAGCCTTTCTAGCACCGCTAGCAGCACCATAGCTACAAAGCCTTTGTCATTGGCTACTGTGCCCAGCCTGCTGCTGCTCGCTGAGCTTGTTGATGCAATGGGATCTCACTGTGTGTTGACTCTGCTTTGTGGTTTTTTTTTTCCCTCACGGGGCGCGTTTTTTGTTTTTGACTTGGTGTTTCCTTCGGTTCGAATGGTTCTCGCTGAGCGGTTGGTTTGGCACAACTTTGCCGTTAAGGCTTGGATGAGATTCAGTTGGTTGAAGGTGGGGCGTTAGGCAGGAGTGGGCTGAGGAAGTAACGAATGGTGGCAAACAAGTGTTGCCGGCAAACAGGATCCCACCACAGCAACTGACTTGCACACACTGTCACTGGGCAAAGGAAACATGCAAGAAAGTGGAGAGCCGGAAAGTGGGCAAACTGCTGGCTTTTTCGGGAAACTCTTGTTTTCTGTCCGAGAGCTTCTGGCCCTTCAGTTTCTGCTGGAAACTGCGAAAACGAACCAACACCCGTCGAACAAGAACAAAGAAGAACCTCTCTACAAACGGACCCCGTTGACACAAGTCAACCCAGGAAGGAGTCCATTTGCATAGGGCGTGCGTGCGTGCGTGCGTCTGCGGGCATGGCCAAAACATTCAGGCTTAGGCTTACGGGTCCCTCTCCCCAGAAGCACAACCGCCGCCCCGGCCCAGACACACCTCGAGCTTGGTCTATGCTCGGGCGCGCCTTCGACTCCTCTAGCTCCCTGCCCTGCCGCGCTTGCAGCTCCTGCCGCAGAAATTAGCTGAGGGGAGCTGGCAGGGAGTCCGGCTTCCTCTGAGGAGTACATGCTGCCAGTGAACCAAGCATAAACCATGGTAAATGCCGGGGTAGCCATTCTGTTGTGATTGCAATGTGCGAAATCAACCGTGCAGCCATAGGCTATGGAAAAAAGGGAACGCCTATCTATACGCAAATATGTTCTCTACGCACACATACACACACACACATATGTATATATATATATATACATACACACGATGCATAATTGCATGGTCATCCACATGCGATGTCCCCGCAAAAGATGTAAGGCAGCATTCGCCGAGCAAAGCAGCCTGCTGCTAGCCGCTGCTTTTGCCGGCAATGTGTGAGCAGTGTTGCAGTTGGAAGATTCTGCCAATCCCAAACCGAAAACCGTCAATCCTTCAATGTGACAATGCAAAGCCCCCAGCCACAATCCCAGCCCTGCGCAAAGCTAACTTAGCCAAAAGCTGCGCAAGTGCAAAGCATACGATGAGCCTTTGACCCCTGCACCTAAACCCTAAACCTTCAACATCAGGCCAAAGCGCTTGTCTCTTTTTGTGGGCACCCTTTCAAGATTGGCTTGGGCGAAACCAACAAAGCCATCCACATTCAGCGCCCCCCCAAAAGCGCTGGTCCTGCAGGCGCTGAAGCTCGAGCTCCTTTTGCCCCAAAAGGGCCCGGCACTGCCGCGCCTCCTCCCACCTCGCGCCCCGCTCCTGGGCGCTCGGGTGCTCAGTCAGGGCAAGTGGTTGGTAGCCCACTTCCTCAGTGGCTCGGCCAAAAGAGTAACCAATGTGCGTGTCACTAAACGTCACTAAAATGGTCTTCCAAAGGGTATGAAGCCTGCCAAAGAGATGAGAGATCTCAACAGCGGGATGGTTAAATTTTGTGCGGTTCCTTCCAATGGGGTTCTACCTGAACATCACCCAACAATGGTGGCTTCCTGTTGGTGTGGTGGAGAAGGCTGATCATGTTTTCAAGGGCAGCCGAAGCGAGGATGATTTTAAGGAGCAATCAACCAGGGCGTCATGAATCGGTCAAAAAACATACTTGCACTCCTTCTTTCGGGGGGCCTAAAATGGGCCCCTAAACGTATCCAAAAAAAACAAGGGACCACCATTTTAAGACACCCCCCATTGCCTGGCCTCCTGCAAGAGCCGCAGCTGCTCGCTCTGCGCCGTCTGCTTTGAGGCCAGCGCCTGGTTCTCCACACCCAGCTGACTCAGCAACGAGGCCAGTTCCTCCGCCTGGACCTGCGCGCGCTGCAGCTCCTGAGGTCAATCTCGTCCCAAAATTCCCACGGCTGGTGCGACATTGGTTTCAACATGTGGGCCATGCCCCCATGTGGATACCAAAGAGGGGTTGAACAAATAAATAAATATATATATATATATATACACCTCTATGCTATGTTTGTCGAAGGGCCCCCCCCAAAAAAGGCATCCCGATCTCACCAAGTAATTTGTGAGGCCTTAGCAGGTTGTAAAACACTTCGAGAGGTTTCTCTTCAGGGACGGACCTTGCCATAGGAATCCTGGAACGTGCCCGGGCATATATTTCCTTTGGACTGGGGGTGCCCAGTCTCTGGGCAGGGAGCGCGGGAGCAAAATAGCTTCAGTGCCCTGCTCAAATTGCTCCAAGACTCCGGTTCCAAAGTACACATACCCATGGGTGAGTGAGGTGGCCCGCACGGGATGTCTTACACTTTTCAGGCTTTGCCCGTCTCCCGCACTTCCCCCTTCCCATCAAGGAGAATCGCCAGACCAGTCCGAACCGCTTCAGGCTTTGCCCGTCTCCCGCACTTCCCCCTTCCCATCAAGGAGAATCGCCAGACTAGGTCTGCCAGTCCGAACCGCTTCGCTCAGTAAAATGAAGACCGGATAATTTGGCATTGGGACAATGGGTTCTAACCTTGCAGGGACGGAATGTGTCCTACGTAGTTGAAGCATTGGCGGAATAAACCCTGAAACTCCCTGTGTGGAAGCATAGGTGCACCATCATGCATGTTGCAACCTACTGCGCCCCAACAGTCTTCCGAATTCATCCGAATTCCAGTTTGGCCATCAACTTGTAGAGACCGCATTTGGGGGCAAAAACTGGCACCGGCTGTTGAACAAAGGGCCTGTAGTTCTCAACATGCAAATCCCCTGTTGGTTTCCTGGGTCATTTGGCACCCAGCTTCGCATCCGACCTCCAAAGCACATCGCTCCTGGTCCTTGCCGCGCAAGCGCTCCAGTTCCTCCTCCTGGGCGGCCTGCATCTCCTTCAGGCTCTCAAGCTCTGCGTGAAGCAAAGTGTTCCTGAGGCAAAAAGGGGGCGCCAACCTGCGACCGCAGACTCTAGGTTTGCTGGCCTTGTTGCTGTACCATGATCGGTGTCCCCCCATTCTCTGACCCCCAGAACCGCAAACTAATGGCCCCAAATTTGTGCTGCCAGAAGAACCCTCACAGTCCAAAGAAGCGGCCCCTTGGCATCACAGGCCGGCGAAACGAGCGCAAGCACGACCGTCCGAAGCTCTGCGCCTACTACCGGAAATGAGAATATGAGTTTTGTGCGAGTTGGGTAAGGGTCAAGTGCGCAGACCAAAATCAAGTCCACGAGTCAAAAGAACGTGAAGTTGAAAGTGGGGCGAAGGGCGGAATGGGCGAGCGCATTGGAAACTGGAAGCGGAGAAGTAGAGTCGAGATAGGTGAATGCAGTGAAGGCGGGACAGCCGGTCAGTCAGTACGAGAGTAGCGACGACATCACACTGGCTGGGTTCCCTATCCCACACTTTTTCGTGAAACATCACCCACGAAAAGGCAACTCACTTTCATTAGCTCAATACACCATGATTGAAACGGACAAATCAAAGGGAGACATTAACCCATGTCACAATCTGGCCGCCTAATCAAGGGGTCCGCCAAAATATTCAAAATTACACATCCCTTTGGGTGTCCTTTTGGGGAAAATCGATATAGAAGTATTGCACCCGGCCATGTGGGCCCCAAACAAAACTGTCTGGTTCCGAAAGAGGACATGGGGAACATGGGGCAGCCCTCCCCAACATAACAAAAGAATACCAGACATTTTGGCAGTGACTCACACTCTATCCAAGCTTCTGCCAGTGCAGCTGCGCATCTTCGCCCTTGCCCCGGCTCGCGCCTTTGGCGTATCCGGCTTCCATCTCTCGCAGCGCCGCCTGTAGGGACTGGAACTGGGACAAAAGCTCCGGGAACTCATCGCACCGAAGCTCCTGGCTGAGGGACCCGTTGGAGCGCGCTTGTCCTTTAGCGCAACCCGTTTCTCAGAGCCCGATTAAAGGGCCCCCTGACCACCAGTGTCTTTTTTCTCCATCTACAAAAAAGTGAGTTGTGGATTCATGGGCGCCCGGTTGATTAATTAACCCCCCACCCCGGGAAGGGTTCCAAAATATATTCTAAGGGGTCCGTAGAAGGCTTCTTAGAATTTTCTTGGGGGGCTGGAGGGCCGGATGTTCTCAAATGCCTGGCTCACCTTTGAGGGAAATTCCATTCTGAATCTGCAAGGCTCATTCTAAAAATGAGCTTTCATTTGGACGAAACGAGTGTGGCAGTGGTAAAATGCTGAGGAACAACATGACATCATGTTCGACCCGAACTCGCCGCTTGAGGGGATACCTGTGACTCTGACCCGACTTTTGTATTCAATCATCCGCGTATTCCTCGCGGTCCGCTTCTGGGAAAACACTTTCTTGCCAGCGATCCGTTTCTGGGAATACGTGGAAAAGTGCTTTGCCGAGATCCATTTCTTGGAAACAAACTCGCAAAGTGCCGCCAACTTGTATTGCTGGCGAACCAGTGCCCAATGTTACAGGCCCACTCTGGGTATGATTGGGTGTGATGTGTAATTCGGATGCAAATTGCAGAAAACGCTGCCGAACACAGGCAACATCCTGAAGGGAAGCGTTGCCGGTAAATGAACACACGCGCACACACACGCGCGCACACACACACACACATAGGGTGGTACACGGCTCACGCCAGAAACTCCGCCCGTCGATGGAAACCTCCGTACGAGCGCTATCCCGCTATCCTAACATCGAGGAGACAGTTCTTGGGCCATGCCTCACCTTGGGCCATGCCTCACTGGCGCTTTCCACATGCAGGGCGGATGCGAACAGCCATTGCCTCTGAGACCCTGAAGCGCGTCAATCTTCCACCCTCCCGTTCCGCATAAGCACAAAAAAACAACAACTTGAAAACCAATAGGTTTTGGCGTCCAAGTCTCAATTAAACAGAAAACAGAGGCTGCATGTCCCCGGTCTGCACTCCAAGCTATAGCAAACACGAAGAAACCCAGTTTCATGGGAGTCTTGTTCGAACTCGAAGCGATAGGGAGAGCGGAAAACGAGCTACGTGCTGATATACCTATGACTGGTTGATCGCCTCAAAGGACCCGCTTGGTATGACAGAAGCTGGTATTCCCAAAGCTCAATTCGCTACAATGGGCAGGTAGGAGGAAAGGCCAAGCGCTCAAAGAGTTGGGTGCCAACACCGGGCGGTTCCTTCTGACTTTCCCGTTAAGCCAGCCAAAGGACGTTCCCATGGTCAAAACCCCTCCAAGCGGTGTGACCATCGCACACGTAAAAGGGAAGGAGTTTATCAGTCGGCGGTACCCCCCTTGCCATACAGGCATGTGCCAAAGCAATGGTGGCCCCAAGATGCAGGGTTTCCTTGGATTGTGCTTCAAACCAAGCTGAAAAGGGGCGCACTCAAACAACTCGCACACCCATACAGTGCGAGTTGTCTTGGGGATCACATGCCATGAGCTCCTCCGCTGCTGAAGCTGCCTCCCGGGTCTTCTGCGTCGGCCCCTGGCAGCGCCGAAACCTTTGGGACCACTTTGGTATACTTCCGGTGGCTCCACCTGCACATACTAGCTAACTTCAAACAACTAAAGCGGAAATTGCTGGGTGCATACGATAGAAACTGGGATCCACGGATGGATGTGTTTCCCAACCGAAAGGGCAGTGAAACAAGGCTACAACGTATTCAGCAGGCCCTTATATTTCGGCTGGGCCGAGGGCCAGTGACTTGAAACAAGTCAGACTTCCCAAGCAAAGGCAAACCTTTCGCAGATTATGGGGAATCCAGATTCCAAAAAGCTTGAAAAGCAAGCCTCATTCTCTGACAAACCGAAAAGGTCACTGGTACAAAACAGCAATACGTGGACATGTCCACCCCTTTTCCTTTTTGGGAAGTGAGTCACCAACGACTGGCGCATTAACACCCAGGTCCAATAGTAACCCGTCCACCCGGCCGGGCGCCGGGCCTGATCTACCGCCCGGAGGTCCTTCGCGCATGGCTGCGCACCGGGGCGTCTCAAAACGGGTTCCTTTCGGATTCAATGTGAAGTCAACCACAAAAGAGATCCCCAAAAAGACATCCATTTGTGCAGCTGGAAGAAAAGACAAACTAGTGAGGAAAACAGGTAGAATGAACAAGAATCCGCACCCAACCAAGATTAAGAGGGGAAAGCTTCAAATCGCTGACAGATACTAGCTTTGTGACCTACGCTGTCAGCCGAACTTAACTGGAGTTTTCCTGATGGGTTTTGGGGTTTCAGTACGTTTCTTTATAGGACTCACATCTACGATTTCAATGCGATGTCGCAACATCTACAATTTATGCGTGCATTTTGTTTACACGTTAAGCCAAAACATGTACAGTTCTGCCGGAGGAGACACCGAGACCATCAAAACACATCCTCAAAACTACTCTCTTGTCTGGTGACTTCGAGAGTTTTCCCGCAAGGACCCAAAACAATGTTGGTTGGGAACCCCTGATTTCTTCATTGTTCTGCAGCTTCCCTTTTCAGGTTTGTTCAAAAAGGGAAACCAAAAGGAACCGATTTCGGAATGCGGCCAGCGTTGGGTTGGCCATTTCCCATGAAGCCGCCAAACAAAATCAGGACGCCAAGCAACCAAAACCCGCAAACCAAGCAGCAATCCAGGGTCCACTTAGATGGTTGGGAGTTAGCTCAATCTCTAGTAACGCTGGTTGCAACCCACTTACAATGGTTAATGGTTGTAAGTCCCCTGTAACCAGGGTTACTAGCCATTTGGCTAAGTCCCAGACCATCTAAGCAGGGGCCCTTGGCTCCTCATTTCGCATCTTCCCCGCCCGGGCCAAGTCCAGCAGCCGGCGCAGCTGCGTCAGGTCCTCGCCGGCCATGGCATGCCGCTCTTGCAGCAGCCTCAGCTCTTCCTGGCGACGATGCCCTTGGCGCTTTTCAAAAACGGGGGAGATCCCTAACAGCCCAGAGTGGGACACCTCAACATATTAACACATGATTGTATCTTGGGCTTAAATGGTATTACTTGCTTGTGATGTTGATGGGTGGAAGTAGTATTTTGTTTTGCTGGCGTTCTCTTGGTATCTCTGACTCTCTCTCTCCCTCTCTCTCTCTCTCTGCCGCACTATCCGTAAGTCGTCCACCGGAGGGGTGGGGTACCAAAAGCCCATTTCAGGCTGTCAGAAGGTGGTGGGGGCAACAAGCTATACCAAATGAGATTGTAGAAGCAAAAATATCACACATGCGTGCTCTCTCGGTATGTCATTGCCTGTTTTTATTGGCAATACCACAACCCCCTTTGTGTTTGTTGAGATCATCAAAGTCCCCACCCAAGCAAACAAAGCAGGGGGACTAATACGATCTCATAGCGGGACTACGGGCAAAAAATCATCTACTATCGATTGTAAACAGTTCAGGGAAAGAACCGCTGTTGCAACCAGTGACCCTGGTACAAAAAGCAACCGCTTTTGGGCTTTGATCAATCTTGGCGGGGTATCCAACCAAAAGCAAAGGGACAGGGTGCCTCTGGAGCAATTGGGTAACGAGCTTGGTTTCATCCTTGGACCATAGAGGTCGACCCCTCTGTCGTTCCATCAACCTCAGCTTCCCCCCCCAAAGAAAAAAAGAAGGAAAACACACATGCTGCTGATCCACCCCTTTTGCACCAGTTGGGAGGTGGCTTTTGTCCATCCACAGTATTTCGCAAACCCAGGCTTCCTCCTTCTTGGCGTACAGATTGCAACTCTCCTCCAGCTCCTCAGTTCTCTTGGCATCATCCATCCGCAGCCTTTGCACCTCCGCATCCCAAAGGCCATGCTCGGAGGCGTGGATTTCCACGCCCTCCGAAAGCTGCAGCTGCAACCTGAAGGGTGTCCAACAGACACCCTGGCAAAAGGTGATTCTTCCCTTTTGGAAGCTGGTGAGTAGGGAAACATTTATCTCCAAAGCTACCCTCTTTGGACGGTTATTTTGGGAAACTACCGTGCCCCCCTTGTCCACTTCTGTTGGTGCATGATTGTCGGAAGACCAAGACACCTGGCCAAGTCTTCCTTCAAGCCAGCTTGCTCGTGTGCGCTTTGCCCGGCCTGTCCTTAGTTCCGAGGCCGTAATGGCATGCTTGCTCATTGGACAAGTTCAGCAGGGAACCGAAAAGTAGGCGTACAAAGAGACCTAGAATAAGAAAGGGACAAAGGAACTGGGCAAACTACTATTCACAAACTGGGAATCATAAATTTTCAGAAACCTTCATCATGTCAAATGCGTGGAGTCGCTCGCTTTTCGCCCGGTTCGATGAGCTCATTATAAAATCGGCCCGGAAAGGTGCCATTCAACCATAATAAAGCATGACCACAGGTTTGGGACGATGTCACGAGACCCAGTACAGGGGATCTACCAATTGGGTCTCTGTTGTTCAGCGACCCCGATAGGGAACACTTTCTGAAGCCACCTTTTTTGAGTCGGGAAACAGAAAGAGATTTGGAGGGCGCAACCCGCCGAATCCGTGGAGAAGCTGTACCACCGTCCCACCAACAATTGAATTCACCAGAAGTTCCCTGCTTCAGGCGAGTACTTTTGCTCAGAGAAGGAAGTAAGAAACTCCCAAGTAAAGGAACTACATCACAACACAGGGTTGTGGGATCAAGGGGTTTATCCCCGCTTCTGCGATACCTCGGCAATCTCCCCTTTAAAATGGAGGGCTCGTCTTTGGGGATAGGCCCTTGTTGTATCACAGCATGGTGGATTCCATTTCAACCACTCTCTTCTTTGTCTAGGGAGGCTTTGTCTTTGGGCAGCCCTTGTTGTATCACAGAAGTGGTCATGTCCCACAGCCCTGCCAGAACAGCCTGAGCGTCTCTGAAGCTCTGCTTCTTTGGCCCGCAGCCGTTCCAGCTCCGCATCTTTCACCCCGTGCTGCGCTTCGGCCTTGAGCCGCTCCGAGGCCAGCAGCGCCTGCAGCCTGGCCAGCTCCTCCTCATGGGCAAAGCCGGCTGGGGCCCAAAACGGGAGAACCGTTGTTGGGAGCTGTTGGTCAAACACGGGTTACATTGGGCTCAAGCACAACTTCCGAAATCACAACGCAGTATGTATACACATACAGGCCTGAGATTTTATAGAGGCTCCATTGGGACATCATTTAGGTGGCGGCTCCAACTCTGAAAGTTCATGGCCCTCGATGTCTACAGCGATTGCTTCCTTCAGAAAGGCTTGGGCATCCACCATCTGGCCATGTTGTCGAAGTAGTTCCTCCTCCTTGGCACGCATGCGCTGCTGCTCCGCTTCCTGCAAGGCATTCACCCGGCTCACTCCTTGGCCAAACTAAAAACCCGCCAAAATGATGCTGATCAACTTCAGGAGCATGAAGAAAATCCAAAAGGGCAGAAGGGGTCAAAAGGGCAAAAGGTGAGTGAAGTGACTGAATTCTCGCAAGGACTCTTTGAAGTTCCTCCTCCTTTGCAGCCAGGGACTTGGTCAACTCCTCCACTTCCGAGGCATTTTGCCCGCTCAGCTGCTCAAGCTCATCCTCCTTCGCCGCCAGGAAGTTGCGCAAGTCCTCCGAAACAAGGGGCCTTAACCAAAAATGGCCTGGCCTTTTGGCAGAATGAGGCCAAATATGGGTGACCCACCCCCTTTTTGGTTTCACCTTGCTGATGTGAAGCAAAAACAACGTGTCAACTTCGAATGATTCCGGAGCGCCATTCTAATCCTTGTTGGTGAAAAATTGCTAAAGCTTTAGGGTATTTCTGTGATTGGTAGGGTCCTCCTTGTCAACACTTGAACACAACTCTACCTGGGCAAGGTCAGGGGCTGCGCCAAATTGGCACTTGAAAGGAACCTCAACCTTAAAGCTATATATGGGTCATTGGGTCATTCTTATGTTTTTGCGGGGCTTCCCATTTCACCCCACCCTGTTTTCCGGCCCCAACCCAGGTCCTCCATGTCGCCTTCTCGCCGGGACTTCTGCTCGCGGAGGCCTTCCAGCTCCTCCCTCTGGCAGGAGATCTCCTGTTTAGGGCTAGCCCCGTGTTAAACAATCGACCCCTGGCACCCTTCAAAGGAAAACCAAAAGGGGGCGGTGATTTGAACTCCTAGGTGCAGAAAAACCTATTGACATGGTTGTGGAAACGCCTGTATGGGCCATTCCACGACTACTTTACTACTTTACTTTGAAGACGTTTCTCATGCGGCTTTAGCCAACAGCTGAAGCGGCACACTGCAAAAAACTTGGTCGACACCAAAGGAAATCTGACAAACATTCTACATCTGAAGTTTGATCGCCTTTCAGTAGAGCAACACTGAAGGGGAAAGCTCATTTCTCGTCGCTTGAAGCGGGTTCAAACTATGCATGTCCACAAAAAGTTAGTGAGTCGCTCCTGGTTTTGGCGGGAAATTTGTTGACATCCCACCCCAATTGACTGACTGCTGGACATTTTGGCCAAACCTCAAACCTTGCTATTGCAGAGAAGCCCACGCAAAAGCCGGCACGTCCTACCACATATGCTCACCAGTTGGTAGGTGGTTCCATCCCAATAGTGCTTAAATACCTAATTATGCACATATATTCATACTTATATTTAGGTATTCCTAGGGTGTCATCCAACCCAGCTGGTTCGGGATTTGGTCCCTCCACGCGAAAGCACTGGGCCCCTGAAATCTCCTTCTCCTGCAAGATGTGCCGCTCTTGCAGGCTGCGCACCTCCTGCTGCAAGGCTCCTTTGGGGTTGGGCTATTCAACCCCCTGTTTCCACCAGACCTTGTCTTTTTGACCCCCTTACCTGACAAGTCAGGAGGTAGGCAAACCGTACAAAAGCAGGTTGTCGGGACCCCCGTTGAAACCACGGTTTGAACCATCATTCTGTAAATAACATCCCTTTGGCTTCGCTTTAAAGGGCCCTAGTCCATGTCTGCGCTTAAGCCAATTTTGCAAACCCTGCTCCTTGCTGCATCTGCAACTCCTCAAGCTCCCGCCTCGCTTTGGCGTGCTGTGCTCGCAGGCTCTTCAGCTCCTCCTCCTTCTGGGCCTGCTGATGGAAACTTTCCTCCAGCTCTTCTGTTTTCTTCGTATGATACCTCGGTGAATGGCGGCTTTGGAAGAACCAAAAAGAAGGCGATCTGCTTGGGCAAGTATGCATTGGACATGGGAAAAAACACATCAACACACATCAATCTCTTGGTGCTTTGTGGTCATTAGCACCCAGATACTCTCGCAGCCTCTCGAGCTCTGCGTCCTTCACGACGTTCTGTGATCTAAGGTGTTCCTGTTCTGCCATCTGCACCTGCAGACTGGCCAACTCGTCTTTGGCACTCTGAACCTCCTCCTGCCGCAGTCGTTCCAACTCCTCTTCTTGTGATGCAATCCGCCCACTCAGCTGCTCAAGCTCACCTTCCCTTGCAGCCAGGAAGTTCCGCAAGTCCTGCATATCCCCTTCTCTGCGCGCCTTCTGCCCGCGAAGGGTTACAAGCTCTTCCTGCAGTTCGGCCTGCTGGTCGGAATCCTCTCGCATCTTGCTTAACTCCTCCTCATGTTGCGTGCGCAACTTGGCCATCTCGTGTTGCATCTCCTGCTGTAAGGCTCCTTGCTGCATCCGCAATTGTTCAAGCTCCAGTCCGGCTTTGGAGTGCTGTTCTCGCAAACTGTTCAGCTCCTCCTCCTTCCGGGCCTGCTGACTGAAACTCTCCTCCAGCTCTTTTGTGTTCTTTGTATGAGACCTCGGTGAAGCAATTTCAGGGGGGCGGGGGAAGGGGGGTATGCCCTCAGAGCTCCATTCCAAGCAACTCCCCAGTTGCCTCAGAGACCCCAAAGAAGTGGAGTTTTGTTTAAAGGCCAGAACCATTTCTAGGCGCCGAACCACTTAGGGAAATGCAACGTGAAACTGGGACTGGGACACCCAGCAGCAACCAGGTTAATCTGGGTTCAGGTAATTGGGGAACCCGAAAGAGAAAAAACAAAAACACCCATTCGTCGAGCCGAGACACCCTCGCAGCCTCTCGAGCTCCTGCGTTTCCCCTTTGCATGCCGCTAGTTGGGACTGCAGCCTCGCGAGCTCTTCCCTCAAATCCGCGTGCTGCGCGCTTTGCGCGGCCTGTCCTTAGCGAAATGCACCAGGGAAAATGGCCAAGTGGGACGGTCTGAAGACTTGAAGCCAAGCCAAAAGCAGAAAGGGTGCAAGTTTGCTTCCGGAAGCCTATGAAATTATGAAAACGTAAGCCAACCAAACCATAAAGGCGGTTGGGCGTCTCTGAAGCTCGTCTTCTTTGGCGCGCAACTCTTCCTTCAGACTCGCCTGTTCATGCTTCATCTGGCCCTGGCGCCGGAGGTGCTCTGCTTCCTGGACCAGTTGGGTGCAAGACTGCACAAGTAGACGGCACAACTCCCTCAACTGATTTCATCACCTCTCTGAATTACAAGCAAGGGAATGGCAAATGGGTTTGGCACCCTTGAATGAGGTGGGTTGCTTTGCTCGCGCCTTTTTCGCTTTCGAAAACTGGTCAAATCCCCCTTGTTCCGAGCATCCCCCCGCCTTTGTGGAGATCCTGTGCAGCTGCTCCTCACGAAAGGCGTCACGCATGTGCAGCTGCTCAATCTGCGTCACCTGCACTGCCTAGGAGAGCGCAGCTTGGTCCTTTTGAGAAATACTCGAACCACTCGGGCAGTCAAAGACGTTCAAGCTCAAAAGGGCTTGTTCTTCTGCACTCCGTCCCTTTTCGGCTTTCAGGCTCTGGCCGCGTTGTTGAACTCCTGATTGTTTGGTGTGGAGTCAACCCAAACAGATTGAGGGTAAAACCAAAACCACGCGCATCTCCACGCCCAGGCATGAGCAGGGTGACTTGTTGGTTGATACCTCAGTGGGTGGTTGGCACGTGGACATTGCAAACACGGCCCTCTCGCGTTTTGTAAACTGATGCAGAAAATGCCGCTCAAAGGGCTGCGATCTGGGCGCGAACTCGAAGCGTAAGCATGCGGTGTTTTTTCCACTTTTTTTTTTGGGCGGGGGGAGGGGGTCCGGTTTTGCTGGCTTTAGGAATTGAAAGGGGTTGTGTGATCATGGGCGAGCCCAGTCTCGCTCTCCCCCTCTCTCTCTCTCTCTCGCTCCGCTATCTCGCGCTCAGCAGCGTGGAGCCTTCTGAGCTCCTCCGCCTCCACGTCCTGGAGAGACCAGCTGAGCCATGGGAAGCCGGGCCCCGCTTTGGTGGGAGACCCCCAAAAAGGAACGTTCGACCCCGGCAATGCAAGACATCGGCAAAAGGGGGACCCCTACTTTTTTGACACATCTCCGTGTCCCCGCGGCCGAACGAGCGAGGCGACGCTGTTTGGTGGCGGTGACCAGAGCCTAGGTGCTCTTCTTGAGAAAAACATGGAATGCACTGGCAAATGATTCGACGCTCAAAAACCAGTGAAATCCATGTCATCTATGTCGAACAAGTGAAATAAGGGATCCAAGATTCAGGGATCCTCACAGTGCTCGCTTTTGCCCCCGAGTCGCTGAGCTTTCCGTAAAATGTGCAGATCTGGCTGGGTCCTTGAGCGCCTTCTTGTCCCTCAGCTCCTGCAGTTCCTGCTCCCTCGCCAAGCTCTGGTCACGCCAGGCGCTCAGCTCCTCACTCGTGCCAGCCCAAGAGGCCAGAGCACATCACAAGGCAGGAAAAAAAACAAAACAACAACAAACAACCCAACCAAACAACAAAGAAACATAACAGAAACCTGAAAGGGACCAGGCGACAGACCGTTCTTTCAGGTTCGAAGTTGCTGTCGGGGGGGGGGGGGGAGAATTGTAATTGCCAGACCAACCTTTCGCCCCAAGCGTGTGAAGGCCAATTCACGAGCTTCCACGGAAGCCTTATGGAAAAAGGCATCCTAAATTGGTGGACCCAAGGCATGCTTTTGGCACCTTCCTTCTTTTGGGCAAGACCCCCGAACTTTGGAAAACTTGCATGCTGAAAGATGCTTTGTGCTCTGCGAGGCTACGCCCACCGCATGCCCTGCCTGATCCCTTCTTGCTGCCTGTCTGCGCAGCTTCTCTACTTCGAGCTGACCTCAAGAGAGCTATCCATGCAGCGGGTACGAAAGGCTTGACTTGCAAGCGGCGCCACATTTGCCGGATGGCAATGGGACCCACATTGAGTTGTAGCTTGAAATGGGTGTGTCTCAAGAAAGGACCGAGCCCAAACGGGCTGCTTGGTTTTGAAACACCGAGAGTACTCTAAAAACAACACCCAAAGAGGGGCGTCCGATTCGCTGTGACCCTGGAAGAAGAAGAACTGGAACCCTTTTGGGGGGTTGACACCCTTCTTGGCGGAGAACCTGTCAGACAAAAAGGTCAAACCAGGGGTCCCCTTCAAAAGCCGCGGCTTCCTGAAAGTCGCGCTTGGAGGTCACGGGAAATTGAAATGAGCTGTCCCTCCCACTGGGGTTTGACATGGATCCGAGGGGCCACGGGCCGCAAGCTTCTGCAACTGGTCCATCTCCAACAGCCGCTTGGCGTAATCCTGGCGCAGCCTGCGCCTCGAAAAATCAAAATGGGGAAAAGAACAAAAAGCAGGAGGAAATCAGAAAATGGGCCCCAAAAGGTTGGGATTGATTTCTTCGTACCTAACTCAGCACGTAAGACGAGTTGGGCATTCTTCCAAGCGAGTACGGCGTTACGAATCAAAGGGCCCCAAACCGTAATCCCTGGTCGGCCCCTGTTCAAGTGTCATCCTTTGAGGGACTCCAAGAAGTGCCAACCTGGCTGAAATATGCATTGAACATCATTGAACCCACTCATTTGAGATTACCACATGTAAATATGCCCTACCCTACACGCAGGCATCTTGAGGACGGGCAGCCCCGGGCCCTAGCTTCCGGAAGTCGACTGCTTGCCCTGAAACGCAACAAATCGTACCGCAAGAAGCGCGCTGACCAAAAAAGACTCCTTCACAGCCTTCACAAAGGCGTGTGTTTCATGTTAGTTGACGGCGAGCAACCAAGCAAAAGCCTGGTTTCACGCTTTCCTACTTGCTTCACATGTAGGAATCAACCGCCGGGAGGGAAACCCCTCAATTCCGTTCAACAGCCTCAAAGGAAAAAATGTTGCCACTGGAAATGTGCTGGTTCCCTGCCAAAGTCTTTTTCAGGGGCGGGATCGAGCCAACGTCGGGTGACATCATGCCCTGTTGACCATGTGTCCACCGGCGGCAAGCCCACTTTCGGCTGGGCATACCAGCATGTTTAAGGCCATCAAGTGGTTCCGGAAATGTTGAGAGCCAGGAACCAGGATGCTCCGCTTTGTGCAGATCCGAGCGGCAACTCATCCTGTTGTTGCAGCCTCTCTTGCTCCGCCTCCCGATGAGCCCCAGCCATGAGTCCAAAACATGTTTGGGCTATTGGGCTACGCCGGCCCTAATGTTGACACAGGATTCACGATCCCACGAAGCCTGGTTGATTCACAGACAGGCGTCCATTTTAGTGGGGATCGTTTATCTGCCAGGCTAATCCTGCTTCCAAGGTGGTGCAATAAATCCGCTTCGTTGAGCACTAGGACTTGTCTGCCACATGCCGCTTGAAACACAAACGCAAGGGGGGTGTCCTTTTCTGAGGGCGTTACAACCAAAAGGGCAGCAGTTTGACATTTGACAATTGCAATCGTTGCTTGTGAATGGGCACTCATCTCAGATCTCAGCAAGTCCTTTGGTTTCCTGTGCGCCTACCAAGCGACAAGCGATATGTTTGTGCGCTCATTCATGTAATGCCATGCAAATAGTTCAGTTCCTCGCGAGAACTCTAAACGTCTGAAGTGGCAGCTTCCGAGGGCGTACCTGCTCCAGCCCTCTCTGTGACAAGTTGTCCGAGCCAGCTGTGACA